GTGTGATTTAACACCATTAGATTTCTTTTTATGGGGTTATTTGAAATCACAGGTCTATGTCAACGAGCCCACAACCACCCGTGCATTAAAGGAGGAGATTCAACGCTGCATCAACGAAATTCAGCCACATTTATGCAAAATGGTCATGGAAAATTTCGACAAACGAGTGCGTATGTGCATGCAAAGCCGTGGAGGCCATTTGCCCGATGTGTTATTCCACATATAACTCTATCCTATGTACTTTATGATTCAATAAAAAAATAACAATCAAAAGACTAAAAACTGTGTTTTCTATTTAATTCAAATCTTGCGTTAATTTTGGGACACCCTTTACTTGCATTGAAAATTGCATTTATTTTAATGAAAGGAAATAAAAGCATTCGTTTCACTTAATTCGTATAACTTATCGATCTAATATAAAAATTCCCTATATAAATTAAATTGATTAAAATTTTAAATACAATATATAACTATAAATATTAATAATTATATAAAATAATACAAAACAATCTTGTTTTTCCAGAGACAGATTTTCGAAAAATTATATTCTTATATTACTCCTTTCGGTAAAACCTCGACGTAAAATCTTCGAAAGAAGCATAATATCCGTAAAATCTCAATCTCTGATTCTTATATAAATTGCGTTAAAATAGCAGAAAAAAATTGACACAGACCAGAGCGCTAACTTTCGGCACTCCTGCATCGTCTACACGGCTTCGCCCTGCATTTTTCGAATTTCTCGCACTGTTGACCTGCTGCAATCACTTTTTTACGATCGCGCGACGACAATAGTGCACGCCGTTCACTCCATTGTTCCCTTTTTTCTCATTGTACACATGAGGATGCCGCATCTCGCATTCCGCGGCCTCGCGGAAAATTGCTATGAAAAAAATTTCCGGCGTTGTTCCACGTACCTGTTAAACCTCATAAAATCTTTCCTTTTCGTGCGTGCGCAATTGTATAAATCTCATCCTTTATTTCAATGAGCGCGCGATATTTATTACTTACTCACGTGGAGCGATTTGCACGCGCCGTCCGAATTATTTCGCGCGGGAGAAAATCAAAGATGAGTTACCAAACATAATTCCTCGAATACCCGCTAGCAGAGATTTCTCGCTAACGATGAATGGAGCGAGAAAGCGACAGCTCGTATCAATTGGTAATTTTAAAAATAATATTACTTGAGAGAGAGAGTTTCAGAATAGATAATAAAAAGAGTTTAATGAAATATGTATATTATAGGGAATCCCATAAAAAAAAAAAAATAAAAATCTAATCAAACATAAAACTCGCTACGTATCACATTTTTTTTATTATCCATTTCTATTATAGTATTCTCAAGCGTGCACAATACAGATATATCGAATATTAAATCACATATAAATCAAAATGTAAATTCGAAAGAAAGAACGTACACCCTAAAAAATATTGATGTGGATTTAACGTCATGCGGCATCTATATAATTCTCACCGTATTGATGTTAATATTAATATCAAAAATAGTGTGGATTTAAAACTCGTAGTGTTAAATCCACATTATATGGTGTTATTAATATTAAACACCAACACAATGAGAATTACATAGCACATGATAAATCCACATCGATACTTTTGAAAGTACAAGAAAGAGAATGTACGTGAGACAATGGGCGCGGCTCGGAAGGGAGTAACATTCTCGGAAAGCAGAGTGTACGATGACAACCGCATATATATATATATATATATATATATATATATATATATATATATGCACACACAATGTAAGTGGAGGTGCACTTCGTGACCCAAAAATGACTGCAACCGAATGCCACGAGTGCTCGGGCCGCAAGGTGCGGCGGAGACCACGAAATTCATGGTGCGCTAATCAATAATGTATTTAGTGTGCGAAACTTCGTGCCGGGATATATTCCAGTTGGGGACCACCACACTGGCGAAAGGTGGTGCCTGAGCATTGTTCTGCGGCATCCAGGCCCGTGTCCGGCGGTCGGTCCGCTACGTAAAGTCCTGCGGAATAATTACGAGTTTCGCCATTGAATCAGGAATGTACCAAACAAGGCAGAAAGCCGACCTGCAATTCCATTATTAATTCAATTAGTGCTAGACGCATACTGATCGCGAGATTAATGCATCCCGTGGACCATAATCTCATTTCGCCGTCTGAACGACTGAAGCCAACCGATATCGTGTTCGGTATACACGGGGTGCCTCAGATTGATTGTAACTTCCCGCAAATACGACTTTTATTGTATTAATTCCTTAATCTAATATAATACAAATACTTAAACGTTCTTGGTAATTTTTTAAAGAACGCTATAGAATTAAGAATAGAGGAAAGCCCCCTATTATGAGATAGGCGCCTAATATGAGATAGCGGCGTTTCCATTAAACTAATAAACGCTATCTATTGATTCCACCATGAATTTATTGCTCTTGGATTGAAAACTATTTAGTAAAAAATTCATTATTAGATCATGCCTCTAGTCATTGTAAAAAGATTTTAGAATTTGGATGTCTTCAAGTTTCATTGAGATGAGCCTTTAAATCTTGTTTATTATTTAATAAATAAATATTTGGCAATAAATTCTTCATGTAGTGATAGAATAAGATCGTACTAATAGAAAAATATGGGATACGTTGAATTGTTTAATTGCAGAAGTTAGATTTGATGATCGTAAAACCATAAGGCGTGGAAATCGTAATATGAAATATGGTACCCAGGGTATTTCTAATATTAAATAACCCATGTTCCTATATTATAGTGAAAATCGTTGCTGAAAAGTAAATGTTATTGTACAATAATAAAAAGGACAACCGAAATGGACGTCGAATGCCTATTTCTGCGATGCTTGATTCCAACTACCTAAAGACGAATTCTGAGTAAAATCTATCGTATCCTCGTTTTTCACGCACGCTGGCTGTGTTTGTTTGCATTTTAGAAACATGAAATAAAATTTTTTAATTGCAATTGTCTTTTAAACTGATATACTTTGCGTTTTATCATCAATTTTTCGGGGCATCTCATATTAGGAGCACAATTTTTTGACTTTGTGATTTATTTTTTACATTTCTTTAATTAAAAAAAAAATAGAATTAAATTTTATATAACGTTATTAAATTCCCTTCAAAATGACCTATTATTTTTTTAAATTCTGCCCATAGACTTCTAGCATTTATCCAAAATAAATTCGGTATCTCATAATAGCTTTTCCTTTACTTAAAAAATTTAATTTTGAATAATAAAAAAATTTGCGAAACAAAATGTGTTATTCTTCATTTAGTTATAAATCGATTTTTTTTAATTTGTTTTCAAGATGTACTTAATTACGGAATATTTAATAAATGTTTGAAATTTAAACAGACTGCGATAAAAATTGAGAAGACGAATCGAAGAATCAATAGATGAAATAAAGACGCAAAAAATGAATCTAAACTTTCGTGTATGAATCTGTATTTTACATTAATATCGATTATGTGATTTGGAATGGTATTTTGGCAACTAGTTCCTATCAAACAAGAAATACTTGCGAGAAGCACATAAACACGGCGAATATAATACGTTTCGCTTTGTAATAT